ATTCTTTGTATATACACATCAAAAACAGATCCAACAAGCCATTTGGGAAAACCAAGGTCAGTTTGCAGCCTTGAACAGAACTGGTGGGGGAGGGAGGCAGTTCTCCGGGTGAGATCTTGACAAAACTTGTCTTCTACATGACCAAGCAGTTCCCCAGCCCAGTGTGCCCAGCTGGGGCAGGGGCCGGAGAGGAGAGCCCCGCTCCTGGGCACTCTGGGTGTGTGCAAGATGCTACGATTAGGGCTTCTGTCTCCTGTGCCCCCACCCCCACTCCATCCTGCCTTGACAGACGGCAGCCTCTGTGCCACTGTGAACTGTCACATCTGCCCTTCCCTGAGAGATAGGCCTTACCCTGCAATGAAGACTCTTCTTGCACAAAGACTTCTACCCCATGTTAATCAGCCAGACGCTGTCAGACCCTTCTAGCCACTGGCCTGTGGAGGCAGGCCAGTGCTCTCTGTGGGGCTCAGAAGGGTGAAGGAGAAGCAAGGCTTGTCCAAGGCCCCAAGGGGAAGTGATGGAGCTACGGGTGATGGGGGCCAAGTTTCTCAAAGGCAGTGCAGGAGAGGGAAAGAGCACTGGCCTAGGGGTCAGGAGACCCTAGGCTTAGACTCTGCGGCCTCAGGGAAGTCATGTAACCTGGGGCCAATTCTTCCTGGCTAACAAGATAACCTTTGCTCTCTCTACCCCACAGAGCTAGAGCTGTGGGGAGCAGCAGATCCCAATACTGGGTTGAAAGGGCTCTGTAAAGTGCAAGAGATAATAATAAAAATAACAGCAAAATTCTCCTCCTCTTCCTCCTCTTTGATGAAACCATACTTTCTATTCCACTGCCTAGGGAACAAGAGAATAAGCTTTTCTTCCTCACTGATAAAAGCAGAGTGGAACTGTCTATAAGCCTTTGCTTAGCAGACTTCCACATTAGTCCACTCCTTAGCTTTCCCCTGGAAAATCTACCAGGGATTCATATCTCAGAAACCACCCACAGGGGGTTAAATTACCCAGAGAATTCTATTTACAGTGGTTTGGCTTTATTTTGGCAAAGAAATGTGTGTATATTTTACACACACACACACACACACACGCACATACACACACGGCAAAAGGTGAGCAAAAAGGGGCATCAGAGTTCTGAAATCCAACCAGTCTTTCTAGAGAAAGATTTGGGGTGGGGAAGAGAATCAAAAGCAACTTGTTTAATTACATTTGGCTCAGTCAACAAAAGAGGAAACATTATTCAGCAAGGACAGGGGAGCATTTGGTCTTGGGCGTCCTTGGTGTAGTTTTTACACAATTATTTTGACAGAAAATTGCTAAAAAGGGCTTTTCTTCCTTTTTTTTTTTTGTCATCAAGGGTGGCTCATTATCTCTTGGTAGCTCAATCATGGATGCATAACACAGAACAGAGAATTTGGGAGAAACTTCTACACTGACTCTAAGTGAAGCCTCTCCTTTAATAGATAAGGAAACTGTGGCGCCCGAAGGGGAAGGATTTGCTCAAGACCATGGAGAGGGGTGGGATGTTAGCCCTGGCTGTCCACTTCTCTGTCTAGAGCGCTCTCCCCTCTGCATGCCTCCCGACAGGGCTGCTGTGCTGTTTCCGAGGCAGACAGGAGACAGTGAGCCGCCGGGCACTGCCTAGGTCTCTTCTCAGGGTCCTCCTGGAGCTGGCTGCTCTGCTGGTGGGGGAGGGGTCACCAGGGGGTAAGTAACCCAGCCTGGCCTAGAAACCAAGGTGCCTCAGGCTGAAAGGTCCATCTGTTGCAGTCAATTCACCCAAAGACGTTAACAAGCAAAAGAGACCCAGCAAAAAACAGCAGTTACGGCTGGCCCCCTCCCTCTGGACAGCCGTTTTATCACCTGCAGCTGCGGTCATCCCGGGCCGCCTGCTGTGTGTGCCTCTCTTGGAGCCCTGGCCACTTCCTCTCCAGTGCAGCCTGCTGTGACAAAGCTGCCCGGCACCACTCACGGCCCAGGTGGGCATCACCAGGCCTTTCAAAGACAGGCATGTTCAGTGGCTCCTATGAAATCTACTGCTTATCTTTCACATTAGCTCTGGAGGATGAGTTGCTGGCCTGCTGCTGAGGTCTATGAGGCCTTTCCTTGGAGCGAGCTTACAAGATGTGGCTCCTGAGTGCCCCAGACACTCCAATTTGGGAGTGACAAATAAGTCACAGATGACCTGGGGCCCTTGGTCTCACCATTCTAGGAAGAGCACAGCAAGCTTCACATGACTCAAGTGCAGTCTGCTCCCAGCCCTCCTGAGCCACCCACTCTAGACCATCAGACACGTGCCCTGTTCCAGGGAGGAGATGAATTTAAAGGGAGCAGCCTCCACACTGTCTCCATGCCTCAGTCTCCCCTCTCCGGCCCAACTACACACTACTTGCCACAGCAAGTTTCCTGAAAGCCCACCTCTGGAGACATTCCTCATGTTTCAACTTCAGTAACTCAGTTATGTCCATAGACTGAGTGCTAACTTCCTGGCCATACACGGCCAGCTCACTCGTCCAGGCCGCAGACAAGGGTTCCAGCTGTGCCTGGTCATGCAGGCCTTGCACATCACGCATGCCACTGCATTTCTGCCTCCACCTGTGTGGTTTTCTTCACTCCTATTACCTCCAAAATGCTGGAGCTGCAGTTCCTCTCAGAGGCCTGCCTTGCACTCCAGCCCAGGATGGGGTCCCAGCACCCTCTCCTTTGGCACTCAGCCACAGGAGGGGCGCTCACGTTAGTGCCTGACACAGGCCCTGCAGCCCTCAGATACTGAACCTGAGTGGAGGGAAGACGATTTCCATAAACAGTTGTTCTGCAGAGGAAATTCAGATCTTCACCCTCTTTCCCATCCTTCTTGGCAGTGGTTCTCAACAGGGGGGCAAGTTTGTCCCCCAGGGGACATGTACAATATCTAGAGACATTTTTGGTTATCACACCTCAGGGGTGCCTCCCATAACAAAGGACTATCCAGTCTCCAAAGTTAATATGCTGAGGCTGAGAAGCCTTGTATTAGACTAATTCACAAGTAGGAAGACTGGCTCAATTGTTTCCCCTCAATGGCGATGCCAGCAAATAGTGAAATACCTGACATAAGTGCTGAAGACAGGAAAAAGGTTTACCCGGGGCCTGAACAACCCTAAACCGACACGACCAAAGGCAGTCACTCACTCCTGCTTTGGGTTCACTCAGAAGTGCACGAGACGGCAGTGTGGAGTGCCTCGACGCTGCGGAGGAGCAGCGCTCACTGCTCTCCGCTGCTGACTTCAACTGCAGCGCAGCTGTCTAAAGGGGAGCACAGCCTCCCCATGTGTGGCCAGCTGAGTCAGGAAAACCGACAGGACTGCTCATACAGCAAATGTGTCCTGAGCACCGCCCTGCCTAGCCCTGTGCTAGCACTGGGGACAAAAAGACATGACAAAGTAGCTGCCCTCAAGGAGTCCCCAGTCTAGTGGGGACACACAGTAATAAGCAAAAATGACTGGTCTTCTTTCTTGGCTAGGCTGATATAACTTCCATTTTCCTTTAAAAATCCTTCTGGGAAGGGAGAAAAACAATAAAGTAGAAAATAAAGCAGTGGCGCTACACCACTGATTAAAATCTATATTGCTATGGCAGCCCCTCTGAGACTAGATCAGCTCGTGGATTTGCACCAGCTGGGCTTGTGGAGCTTGTAAATAATTAAAAGGTAATTGGAAGGGGAGACCAAAGTATTAAGTGGATTTCTCTCTCTCAGGGTAACCAGGGAGTTTCACTGCTGCCAGTCACATTATCTTTCAGGATTATATTCTTGTTTTTTACTGACACATGCATCTCCAGATAACAGTTGAAGGAATAAACTAATTAAGGCTGCTTAGACTGCTTTGATGAGCTTGAATATGGGGGGGAACCAAGACTCAAAACTTTCGATTGCCTTTGTAAGCAAATCACCAGTAACAGGCATGCTACTAAGAAGGCAACAAGGCTTTAGAAGGTAAAGGAAAGAGAAGGAGGGGGAAAGAGGGAGGGAAAGGATACTTAGAATATTTAGCTGCTGGGGGCTGCCATTATGGCTCAGCCTAGGATAGAGAGGAAGATTTCACTCCCAGGTCTTAATAAAGGAGCTGACACAGAAACCAAGAGATACATCATCAGACATAAGGAGGGTCCCAGGGAAGAGGCTGGTGGGAGCAGCTCTCTCCTGTTGGTTTGTCCTGAGGGTGATGAAGGTAGAGCTGCACAGGTTACTGAAGACCTTCTCCTAGAGAGGCTAGGGTTCTGGCCGTGCTTCCTGAGGGCTGACCCAGCTGGTGAACCCATTGCTGAGACAGGATATAAAGCCAGGAAGTTGAGTCACTGGGCTCAAGACCCAGTCACGCCATGGTCCAGGGTGGAGTTAGTTAGGGGTGTGTGGGGGAGGCGTGAGAAGGAGAGAGGGACAGAGAAGTACGAATGTGCATTATAAAGCAGATGCCCACGTACCCCACAGTTAAACTGCAAGAATGCCCCAACTGAGCCAGTGGATGCAAAAATCAAAGAGCCGATGGATAGGAAAACTGTTAGCCCTTCTCTCTCATGGATCATTTCAGACTCTCCCAACAAATCCTGAGGGACCGCCATTCTTTCATCCACCTTTCTCCGTCCCTATAAGACTAAATGCACCAATACGAAGTCCCACATACTAGTTTAAGTGATGTCTAGGGCAGCTATAAGGCTAAGAAAAAAGTATATTTGAATTTGAAATGACTCCAGAGATCAGTTAATCAGAGGAAAAAGAGTGACAAAAATAAGGCAGCACCAAATTTGGATGATCATTCTATTCATTTTCTGCCAAGGCCATTTCTGCCCTCTTGGATCTGGTTGTCAATTATTGGCTAAGTCTGGAACCAATCAGTAGTAAAGGCCTCTTGTCCTCCTGGGCTAAGACACTGGTACTCTGTGGGGAGGATGGCTAACAGTGACTTGCACACAGTAGGCACTTGATAAATATCCACTGAATTGAAATGATGAGGGGACTGCACACTTACCCCTCTTCTGCATAAAGACAAAGAGGTCATCCAGGAACTCTTTCCTTTCCGGATCACCGTCCAGTTCATACAGCTGCAGTCCCGATCCCCCAAGAAAAAAACACAATGAAAAATTCCATCTTGTGCAGGAAGTCTACACCAGAGACACAGAACCATCTGAACGACTACAAATGGGACTCATAGACCACTCCTGTCCTTATTCCTTGGGGATCAGATATAACAACCCACTGCAGAACTACCCCATTTGTTATCACAAAGGAAACATTACAGACCTTGGCAAAATCTCGAGAGATTTCTCGTCCCCGGCTTCCGTCCGCATCGTCACTCCAGGCCAAACCACCATTCTGAAGGGGAACAAAGCACAGCGTTCAGAAGGGAATGGGAAGAGAGTGACAGAGGGCAAGGCAGTCATTTAGGGGGAAGATGAAGACTCGTACCAACTGTGCTATCCTGGCTCACAGTATAAAGACTGCTCAGGTAACTGCCACCGCCACCCTTACAGGGACATTTTGGGTCTTTTGCTTTCAATTACAGCTCCAAACTAAGAGGGAGTCAGGAAGAAGAATCATCGCCATTTGTCAGAGGAGGGGGGGTGTTACTTATACCCGATAATCTTGGAAGAAGAGGACACAAAGGCTCAATTTTCGGAGAACCTGCTCATCCCTAGCTGATCTTCCAGAAGCCAATACTCTGAGATGTAGCACTTTTCTGCAGGTTCTGTATGGTCTATGTGTTTGTACATTCTATGGTATATTGTGAAGATACCTGGCCTGGCTTGCCACGCAACACTCTAAGTGGGGATGAAAGGTCAAGGGGAGCAAGACCTAGACAAAGTTGTGGTCTCTCAGCCAAGCCTCACCACTAGAAGCCCTAAGTCTAGCAATCAGAACTCCCGAGTGATATGAGGCCCCCAGGACCTGAGATTATTCCCAAAATACAGAGACTCCAGTGCCAGTAGGGTGGAGTTCATTTTCATCGAGAAGTAATGAAAACCTAATCCTAATTTAATTGATTAGGTTAGACCAACACCATTCAACTGAACAGGAGGAAATGGCAAATATGCCTTTGTTGACATTCTTGAAATCGCTTCCTACCTTTATTCAGTTGGGTGACTCTTATTCCCCAAAGCAGGCACATCTCTCAGGGAGGCCTCAGTCACTCCCAGCTGTGCTAACAACGCTGGAAGCAACCTCCGTACATTTCAAGCTTAGAATTTAACATCTTATTTTGAAATTATCGGTCATCCCCACCATACTGTAAGCTCTTTGGGAGCAAAGGTGTCTTATCTATCTTTGCACGTCCAGCATACAGCACACTGCCTGGCTCTTATTAGGCCCCAGGGAATTCGTGATGAACTATAATCATTGTTAAAAGGCATTAACTGGCTATTTGAACCAATTAAGCACCTCTTCAGAAAATATACAAACACATACACCATACAGAGAGTCAAAGAGGCCCTCTGCTAGTGGGGACTATGAAACGTCAGTAGAAAGCTGCCGTTCACTGCTGCTCCACTGGCCAGTGGAGGACCCAGTGGATGGGACCAAATGCACTAAGCCCGGCACACTCTCATTTCTCCCCTAGGACCACAGGCACATGTATGCACATGCACACACATGCCACACAGCTGGCTGGGGTGTGTTAAGTGGTTGGGGAGGGGCATCTGGGGATGGGGAACGGGTTTCTTGGGAGGACATTCTTTGGACTGGAAATTCTTTGGAGGAAATCCTTGGTACAGGGATTTCGTTGTAAAACCAAGCCAACAAAATGGAAGCCTGGTCTTAGTCCATCCTCTCCCTTTAATAGAGCTTGCCTGAAAGTGGAGGTATTATTCAGTTATATTTTGGGGTCATCCTGTGCTTCCCCTGCTCAAAGCAGGCTCTGAGATGTAGACCCACTGCCTGAGAGCAGCAATTTAGCACAGAGGGAGGTAAGTACAACCAAGAAGAAGTGACACCCTGTCAGTTGAAATGAAACAGGCTACACCAAATTGTTTCCCTGCTTATCTAGTAAAAGACGTGTAAGGAAGTGCTCAGTAAATGCCATCTGACTGTGCACTCAGCATCTCCCAGGCAGATGTTGGAGGAATCTTCCTCAAGCACCTTCAGCTCAGGGAGGCCAACAACCAAGCAGGTGGAACACTGTTTAGTAAAAAAAAAGAAGCTAAAACTCACCCCGACACTGTAATTACAGTCAACAGAAATCGGGTGTCATCTAGCACAATGAATAATCAAGATGAATTATGCCTGTCAGGTCAGCAAAACCGAACAGAGTTACAGTCCTCCTTTCAAAGGATGCAGTAGGTTGCCCTAATGCCCAGTGATTTCGTTTGAGCCAGTAATTCCTGCTGGAAAGTCAATTATCGTGGGAGCCCCTATCGGCTGAAAGACATTTAATGGGGGATCATTGCAGCTTCTGTTATGTCAGCTGTTTACTGTGGCAGCTCAATTCCCAACTCTCTCCAGCTGGAGATCTGAAGCTAATTCTGTTCACAGGAGGATTCTTTCTCTATTGGTCACCAAGGGAGATGAAAACAGTTTTTTTTGCTAATTACAGTAACTTTCAGGCACTCCGAATGCTCACTCAGAAACTATTTAACACTCTGTTGGGTGGAGAGGATGGAATCCACAACCTAGATTCTCAGACAGAGTTTTCTACAGCAGGAGAGGAGTGTAAAAACAAGCCCGTCAGTGTAACCACTGTGTGACTACGTGTGAAAATAAACACCCAAGTGTGAGAGCTCAGCTCCAGGAACAGAGGAGAATGCCTTGGAGGATGGGGTCTGGGGGTCATTATGACCCCCTCCCTTCACTTTCTCCAGCTCTGCCCAAACCGCAACAGAATCTGAACAGTGGGATGGTCAGACCTTGCACTAAGGGTGAACTATTTTGCTTAAAAATCTGTTTAGTGATTGGATTTTAGCCTGAAACGCCCCTGACAGTGATCACAAAGAACAGAGAAACCTGCCAGAACAGGGTAGAAATGGGACACTAAACTCTTTGAGCAATGCCATTGTTTGACCCATTCCATGGATAGGAATGTCAGCTACCATTTAAAGAAGACGCGCACAAGAGTTGCCCAGGAGTGCAGGCGTTTTCTTTTGTCCAGTTCCAAGGCCAGGATGGTCCATTGCTTAATTGAAAATATTCAGTTGGGGCTGATGGGGAAACATCCACTCTCTTTGCATTACTCTGTCTTGGGGCCGTTAAACTTCGACTCTGCTTCACAAGATTTTCTGGCTGAGGTGAGAGTAATTTCTGAACCATGCCCATCCTTCACAGTCCAGCTGGAATGCCAGTTCCTCCACGAAGCCTCTAGCCTCTCCCCACCAGGCAGAATCAATGCCTTTCTCCTCTGGGCTGTGTCCCCTTGGGTTCTGGTTCCCTGTGCCTCTGCCTATGTTCCCAGTCTGTAAGCATCCTGGCAGGGTACCCCCAGCCCCCAGGACATGGAAAGCCCTGACATATCTGCTCAAAGACAGGGATGGGCTCTCCCATGAGACCACCAACCCCACAACACCTCTCTTCTCTCCTCCTTTCATTGGGAGGATTACAGGCTTCAGCAGTTATTTTCTTGATTCTTAACTCCGACCAATTGCTGCACAACATAGCTCACTTATGCAGTTCAGGTTTACGTGCAGGAGGGTTCCTGGTCTATCAACATGGTGTGGGTGTGACTGTTGGACAGTTATCAGCCCAGAGAAATGATTCTTTTCTTCAATGTTGAGTGTGTCTGATTGATATGGTAGTGATGGAGGAAACAGGGAGTGGTAGAGGCAAGTACAGGGAAAACATATCCAAAAAGAGCCAGCTCAACAGGTTAGGGATCCAGAGAGGTTCCAGAGAAACACAATTCAGATAAGGGGGCGCTGCATGCACGTCTCACCTGCCCAGGGAACAGGCTCTGTTACTCCCCCATGGGCAGCAGGCAGAAATGTGTGCGAGAAGTCAACAGTAGCCAGAGTGGTCACTTATTGCTATTTACAACCTTCTCAGCCTCTCCTACTTGAGAACTCTCTTTTAGCAGCTTTGATCTCACCAGGGGCTCACAGGAAACAGACAGTTTATTCCCAAATACTCACCCAAGACTAGCTTTGGTTACTATATCCACACTAGCTCATTTTCCCCTGGGAGGCCACAGAGTGTTCTGCCTTTAAATCCCTCAAAAATGGTAGTGAAAGAAGGTTGGGGGAAGGAGAAAGGGAAGCAGGAAGCTAGTGTCTGTGCACATTCTGTGTATCAAGGACTGGGCCAAACGCTTAAGAAGCATTTCCTCACTTAATTCTACTATGTTGAGGTGGTTATTTTAGAGATGGGAAGACAACGGCTCAAAGAGCAAGTAACTTCACCTGCCCAAGGCCTCAGAGCTTCTGAGTCGTGGTGCCAGCACCTAAACCCAGGGCTGTCTGGCTTTCCTTGTTATACCATGCTGCCATGTGGGCTGAAAGAACAGTAGAAAGTTCTGAGTAGGGATATCAGGAAGGGAGAGAGGGAGAAAAAGAATGAAATCCTCTGACCATACAATGCCGACAACGTCAAGTCATGGCTCTGGGAGGCTCCTATCAGTGGGAGATTTTTTTATTTCTTGATTCATCTCACTGGCTTCATCTGGGAGAGGCAGCCAAACAGAAAGCCAGCCCTCACACAACACTTGCCCAGGAGACTTATCTGGGATACTGAAATAAGGATTGCCGGGGGGTGGCCTAATGGCGTAGTGGTTAAAGTTTGCATGCTCCACTTCAGTGGCCTGGGTTCGCCAGTTCAGATCCTGGGCACGGATCTGCACACCACTCATCAAGCCATGCTGTGGTGGCAGCCCTCATAGAAGAACTAGAAGGACTTACAACTAGGATATACAACTATGTACTGGGGCACTGGGAAGGAAAAAAAAGGAGGAAGATTGGTAACAGATGTTAGGTCAGGGCCAATCTTCCTCACCAAAAAGGTAAATAAAAAGCATACCTTAAAAAAAAAGGAATTGCTAACTTTTTACCACTACCTCCCAAACAGAACATTCTGGGTAGGATGGGCCCCCATCTTCCCCCAGGGGACAGGGGATCAGGAAAGAAAGACAAGCAGGTTACACCTCTGAGGGGATCAGAGAAATATGGCAGCTAGCACGGTGACTTGCACATAAAAGCCTTCAAAAAATAATGACTCTAAGTCTAACCTGACTGCTACTCAAAATTAAAACAGTGCTTCCCCAACACTTCAGCCTCGGGAGATTGAAAGACAGGGGGAAATGTATTCACTGTGTTTGAAAATCTAAAAGGCTGCCTGTGGAAGAGGAAGCAGGGTTTTTTTGTTGTTCGTTTTTTTTTTGTTTTCCTCGAAAGCCCCAGAGG